AAAAAAAAAAAAAAAAAAAAAACTAGGATGCAGCCCGTAACACGATCTAGAACTTTGTCGAAGAAATCATATCGATCCGATCTACAGATCGAAAGATATGAAAATCGGAAAGGGGACTGTGTTACAGATTGCAGAGGACAGAGAAGATAAAGAAAAAGAAAAAAAAAAAGAGGTCAGTCGGCTAGCGGCGGAGGGTGGCGTGATAGGTGCCGGACACACGTCGATCGTCTGTTGGAGCAACACAGCTCCAGCGAGGCGACGACATGTGTTGCCTGCAAAGCTGAACCGAACCACAAATGCGAGCCGAGCCAAGCTGAACTAGACTGGCCGACCCGCGACTGCGCAGGGGCTGTCGCGCGTGGTAGGCGTGCGTGCGGCCTGCGACTAGCACACGTCCACGAGCGTGGTCAGCGCACTGCTGTCGCGTGAACGCGCGTGAAAGGGCCGTTTTGGCCTGGTTGCCCTATGTTTGCCCGATTTTTGTCCCGGTTTCAATTCTAGTACTGTTTTTACGTGAATAGGGACCTAATGTAAGGAAATCAGTATTTTTGGATACCTCACGGGCAAAGAAACGTTAGCAAAAAGGCATGTGTCAACCAGGTAAGTCACCACCAGGTATTTAGGAAGAAATACTTGTAGGATTCGCTTGAATTGCATGCATTCTAGTAATTTTGTTTCAGATTAGCTCTCCATGTAAAATATTAGTCAGATTGATTGCTATGAGTGTATTGGGTGAATCATCTGAGTGTTGCTTGTATGCTTTAAGCTTTCGTCGTATGTATGCATGCGTTTAATTTATGTTGGAATTGTGTATTCCGTGTTTCGGGTGCTTGATGAATGAATTCGCCCCATTGAGCACAAACTTCGTGCTCTGGGTGCTTGATGGAGATCATCGCCCCGTTGAGCTGGTATGCCTAGTTTGCATGAATTATATATTATAATGTTAGAAGACGGTTGCATGCACACTCTGTTAATTGCTAGGGTCCATTTCTATGATAAGCTTAGGGGATTACTGTTAGGAGCGATATGTTGCTTTAGTCAGACTTAACTTTCCCCTAGGAACTTAGCGGTTTACCACGACAACAAGGTACCTCAGGAGTGTTCATAGATTGCTAGTGTGAGAACGATATCTATAGCTTCGTGGGAGGACAAAGGTCCCTAATCAGTCCTTACTGCTCTTAGCCATTTCGCATGGGAAATTTGTCCCCACGTCGTATAGCCCATTAGCTGCATGGGAACGGGTTGGGTCGCGCCCCCCAAAGGGGGACTATATGGGCGTAGGGGTATTCAGCACGCCCTTAGGCTATACCATGTAGTCCCAGATAGCTATGTAGAGGTAGCACCTCATAGAGAGATACTGACCATATTAACTTGGCGTAAGGAACATCTAGGCATTTAATGAAAGGACGATGAACCAGTGAAACCCAAGGGGCAAGCTCCAAGGGACTAAGATTAGAACCAGATGTCCTAGAACCGAATTAGGAAACCGTTGGGAACCTGTTAAATTAAGATGCGAAGAGAGCGTACAAGTAGATGGCTTACTGAGTACAATTTGTATACTCATCTTTGCTATGTTTTCCTTTTTTCAGGAGCGTGAGGCGTCGGTCAAGGGCGGGCGTGATGGGGACGGGAATTGTCACAGAGGAATGGGTTGTCCC